CAAATATACAAACAACATTGTGTCACGGTGCTACGCAACAAGCTTGCATAGGCCTATAAATATAAACATGTAATAATTTAATCAAGCATAGCTCATCAACGTAGTTGCAGCTTCCAAATCGCATCAAACTTGATCTGAATATTATATAATATATAATAATTATATATATAGGCCTATATATCTACATATATTATATACGATTATGCAAATCAAAATACACAATGATTCCGTAATATGTTTGAACACCATAATGTCTAAATTTGTCATTCTTTTTTTCAGTCAGGCTAGGGTGATTTAAGAAAGGTTACTGCATCACAGACGAGACCTACTCTAAAATGCTGCTGTTCCAGGGGATCAACACAGCCAAAGCCGCCCAGGCTACTACTCAAAATGGTCCGAAGTAGGAAAGAACACGTTTCTCCATTGAGTGGAACATTTTTCCTACTTACTCTCACAGTGATTTATTAAAGAACATTTACAAAAAGTGACAAAGATCTTTAACTTCTATGGATATTATAAGATTATAACGACAACCCCACAACATTACATTATGTATTTAATATTTAAATGTCAAAAGATATTTTTCAATAATGATGTTTAATGATACGTTTTAAAATCTCTTATTATTTCAAAACATATTTGGGAAATGATTAGTGAAAATGCGTCATACAAATAGGAAATACATCGTTTTTACCGATCTATATTTAAGGAATTTTTCTCCGCCACTGATAACAACTCCAATAATTACAGTTACATTATTATCCAGAAATAGTAATGTATGTCTTTACACATTTTGTCATTCATCATCGGAACAATATTTCAGACCGATAATGAAATATAAGGCCTACATTGATTTTATTCTAACTTTGATTATGGTAATAACGTGTGCTGTACGTTTGAGACATCCTGTTTCTTGGATAGCAATCAGTAAATAAATGATATTACAGCACAACAACCTAAGACGTTATTTATCGATATATTTTGCCCGTGATTAAAGCCTACACTGATGAGAACGATTGGTGTTAGATTTGAGGCTTCTTAATCTTCTCTTCTTGGTGACGCGAGTTTTCACTTGACATGATTAAAGTAATCAAAGTAAATCTAATTGGATGCTAACCCGAGGTAGAGATTGTAAAATTTAATTACACGTCTAGTGAATGGAATCTTCGGCAATTTAGAGATTTAAGAGGCTTATCAAACCCTGAATTTAATGTACTACTTTAAATGAAAAAAAACACAAAAAACCGACATTCTAAAATTAATAAACATTCTCATCTTCCAATAATCCATGCGCGAGTTACTCTGTTTAGTACGCCTTCTAAAATATGATGCTACGCGTTACACAACAGACAATCTCGAGATAGAAGAGCTCAGGATATTTATGGAATACGATGAACGCAGGTTAAACTCACATATATGCTGCGTATTTATTGGAATTTTAGTTTAATATTAGAATAAGCCAGAAGTCAAACAAGCAAGAAATGAGTCAATAATTGACGAAGTTGAATAGATTAGAGGAGAATGACTGGCTTACTAGTTGCTAAACAGCTGTCCGTGTAGCTCACTCATTTAAACTCACCGCCTGGAAAAATCGCTTTATTTGTTTGACAACTTGTATTGATTCTCTGTCAATAGACAGCGAGGTTCAGAAATCAAAACATTCTGTCTTGTAAACACAATTACAATCTGATGAACTTTGTAAAAACAGACAGCCCTAAGCAGCTCACTATCCAATGATCTGTTCTTTGAAGCAGCGCAAAAAATATGTTGAAGTAACCAAACGAGCATTACAATATTTTTATAGATTAAAATTAAAGAACAACAGATGGAATTAAGAAACATTTTATAGTGTTGCAAATGCATATCCTCTCTCCTTACAAGAGTTCGTATAAATCACAGGAGCTACACAGTTGGGTTTTTTAAAAGTAGCTTCCTTTTTAGCGAATAATAGTGTATAATCGATTCTAGCTGATGTTATGAAGTGACTGGAACAGCATGACCCCCCTCCCCATTTATACTCGTGGGTGAAGAGAGGCAAACGTAAGTAAAGTGCCTTGCCAAAGGACCGGACACAAGCAATGCGACGAGCGCCCGTCTCGAACTCCCGATCTCACGATCCAACACGTTACACGCTGCGCCACACGCTCCCACGACACCTTACGAAAAGATCTTTCATACAAATAGTAAAGAATGCATCTACAATATACTCAGTTTATTTGTTTAATGAATCAAATTTGTTAAACGTCTTTTGTTTGTTTTTTACAAAAACAAACGTGAGATAAAATCAAATTGGTTGGCAAATGTATATATTCGAAAAGATAAGCAGTGGTAGACACATGAATTATCAAAATACGAGAACACCTTTCGTCACATAAAGTGGCAAACACATGGTGGTAATTACTTGGACTTGTACCTTAGTACATGATAGTTAGTTGGCCACAGTATGTGGCAATTTGCTATTACCCACATACCCTAATAATTTTGCATCACAATACTGTAAATTTATGTTAGCAATTGCATTACCCTTTATTCGTAATATCATTAAGATACTGTGGTATTAAAACATAACTTTATCATCATTAAATAATATAAACACCTTTCAGTAATTGGTATATAATTACCAGGTGTTTAATATAAATTACACAATACATTCACCTCAAATTCTGTGTAATCAGTATCTGACACAATGCAGATCACATTGTTAAATCATCATCAAACAAAAACAACAGCTATAGCAATAATAAATGATTCCTTATGCAAATTGTAGATGGAAAAGGAAATACACCAATTTTTATGTAAATACTCATTCCCATAATTCATTTTAATTGATAAAAACACAAGCATGTCATTTATGCTGTTTTATGTCACCTCAAAATAACAGCTGAAATGACGTCACCATTCAGATCCTCTGTTAAGTACAATGGATTCACTGATCTGAAAATACGCTCAGAGAAAGGCAGTACAGTATATTATGATCTATGAGTGCACACAGACAGTGGCCAATCTCTAAACAATATAGTAGCATAAGAGCTAGTGAGATGCTTTTCAATTTAGACATTTTAAGTATAGAAAATAAAGCCTCAGGGAATTAATGTACTCAACCATACATTTAGTGTACAAAATGTTGTTTCATGCAACTGGACATAACTGGACATAAACACATCAAGCATTTGTATTAACCTTGTTTTGAATGGTTTTTAGGTGATATGTCTTAACTGAGTATGATGCCATATTGTAAGACATTACATTCAGTACAAAAACTTAATGCCCCCAAGGGACTCTAGAATGTTGTTACATGAGTTCACCTAACATGTCAGTCAAATGTAAATATATACAGCAATATATAATATGTAATGAAAAGTGTTCCAGTCAATATAATCTTTATCATTGGGTACTGATAACCATTTGCATAACATCCTGCCAATTAGTCATAGCTGGGGTGGATCCAGGCAGGATGTGGGGCTGGGGGGGGGGTGAGCTAATTGAAGATCGGTCGGTTAGCGGTGTTAATTTCCCCAATTCTAAGCTTTAGCCATATTATTCTTTAATTAGAACGATTTCACTTTTGCCTAGAGATTGTTTCGTTGCTGGGGGAAGCAACCCTTTTGCCTCCTTTGGATCTACCACTGCATAAGGTTCTTAGTTTACCCCAGTTCCTCCCCATATATTTCCAAGGGTTTGTAGTTGGTTATCTTGATGGTGATTTGCTGGTCATTACAAGTTGCTCCAACAACGCTCGACGTTTCTGTTCCAGCTCTCCTTCACTCATCTCACTCTCGGAGGTGTCCCATCCCGTCTAGTGAATTAAAACAAAAACATACCAAGTTACAACCCACGAATACGAGGGAGCTTTCGTTTGCACAACGACGGTAGGATGCAGAACGTAATGACGTCCCTAAAAGTCATCTGCGCATGCAAGAACGTTAAGGTCACCTCGTCGAGTAGATTCTGGAACGCAATTTGGCCAAATCTATGTATGCAGAGAACGTAGGACGCCAGGTAGGACGGTCATGCATGAGTGATTCCGTTCTAGCGTCGCGTCGTCGCACAAATCGAAAGCTCCCTTGTAACATACCATACACCATGCCTCAATAAAGTAATAAAGACAATATTTGTAGCAAAGACAAGCCAAATCAGTCACTTGTCGCAAAAATCGATTTTTAGTTATTAATACAGGATTTAACAGTAAAATGAGAGCTATAAAATGGTAAAAAGAATCATTTAAATACGACATTTCTTTAAAAAGTGTTTAAACATACAACTGTTTTAAGAAAAATATTTGAGAAATCAGCCTTCAAAGTTTATGATTTAGGGCAATTCTCAAGCAGAAACCATGACCAAATCATTAAAAATTTTTGTTTTAACATTGAAAATGGGAGAAATAACAGCGTAGCTTGATGTATAGATATATAAAGGTATGGTGCAATAAAGTAGATTTTTTAAAAATTTGACATTCCAGCATGTTTTGGCCAATATCTCTCAAACAGGATATGCGATGAGTGACTGGTTTGGCTTGTCTTTGCCACAAATAATATTAATAAAATTAATAATAATGACAATGTGTAATAATATGTTAAGTTAATTATCATACAGACTTGCTGTCTGTGAATAAAACAACCTTAAAATATCCATTAAATTACTTCAAATAATTTCTTGTTTAATTTTCAATCAGATAATAAACAAAATATACAAAAGTAGGCAGTCCAAATATTAAATTTTATTTAAGTATTTTTAGCTCATCACAGGTAGAATACCTTCAGCCTCTAAGCTATCTACAGGTAGTTAAACCAACTTTTGTTTTAACAGAATAAACAATTGTCAGAGGGGTGGAGAATTGTCTATGAGTCTGTCACCTTGCTTTTCTTATTAGCTTGGCTAGATGATCCACTTTTCTGCTTTCTGCTGGATGTCTCCTGAGATTCTTTTGGTTCATGTTCTCTTTCAGATTCAGAATCAGAATTTGGCTGGAGAAAAAATAAAATAAAAGTAAATATTCAAACAAAAACAATAATAATAATAATAATAGTCATTAGACGTATTTGTCAGCAAAACTACTCATTCAATTCCTACCTTGGGCTTTTGCATGAAAAAATGCTGGTACTTGAAAATGGACTTACAGAAATGGGTGGGATTCTACTCAAAGAGCTATAACACAAACTTGTGAAATGGCAAAAAAAAAAAAAAACAAAAAAAAACCCCCCCAAAAACAAAACAGTATCTAATGCAACAATCATAAATAATTAGGTCTATGAATATTAATAACTTACAGTACGTCTCCTTTTCTTTTTGGACTTTTTTTTGTGTTTCTTGGATTTATAGCTGCTATGTTCACCCGATTCATCTGATGTAATTGAAGGTGTTCGAGATTTCGACCTCTTCTTTCTGCTACGATGCCTTTTTGAATCACGTTCCTCTTCAGATTCAGTTATCTAAAAACACAATAAAAAGTTGAAGTATAGCCACAGTGAAACCATAATTATCATTAACATCATGTAGTTGTTAATATAATTATATTTTATTAAAAAATGAATACTCACCGATCTTGAGCGTGAACGCCTACTTCTATGTTTCTTTGCCTTCTTAGCTCTCTTATGGGATCCGGAGGCCTTGCTATGGTGATGACTACATGCTTCCTACAAAGAAAAAAACGTGTTATACTTTTCAGTTAAGTCTGTTATTGATATATAATTCACAGTAAAACATGTATAAAATATAATATAACAAGTTAACATGTTATAAATATTGACTTGCTAATTAATTTATTTTATATCACTATTTATTAATTATTATTATTATTATCAATTCTATTATTTCTGTCAAGCAGATTTCTTAAGATGTATTAATGTAATGTATTAATATTTAATAAAACAGATGAAACAGTCATCAAAAGTAGGGACAGAGACAGTATGCCCTGACCAGAGAGATGAACACCCCACCCCACCCACAAGTTTTATGATCGGTATGATCCGGAGGGAGAGTAGGCCTACACATTAGTGTCTCCCCATGAGGTTACAGGTTCTAGTTTTTGTAGCTAGTATAGTTTTTTTTCCCTTAAATAATATATCTAATGGCCTCAGTATAATACTGTACAATCATATGTCAACTGAGGTCAATAACGGCAAACTGTTTTCAACACGAAAACAGCTGGGACACAAGCAGCAAGAGTTGGAGGTAGGACAAGTGCATTCAAACATTGTCGAACTACCACAGTGTCTGTTAAAATCTTGCATGTGTATGTGCGGTAAAAAAAAGTATCTTTCCTGATCAAAACACCGATACTTTATTAGTCATTGCAAGTGAATCTAAATTGTTCAATTTAGAGACATCGTTGATATTAGTCTGAATCCTTGATTGTCATTTGATTGAGTGAGTTGGAGACATCGCTATTAAGGTTTTCGTTGAATGTTGCATAAAATTCTAGCACAAGCTGGGCTATTTATATGACTCACAGAAAAAATTCCACTTACAGACTGGAAATTAAACTCAACATAGGTAAAATACACAATTAGAAAAAGAAGTAAAACTATATAAAGACACATAAACAAGTCAATTAGTGCGATGAATGTAAATTATTAAGGAAACGTAAGCGGAAGAGTGCATCATTTTGAAGCCTTATGGGAACCATAACATTTTCTTAACTATTAGATCTATACAGTACTATATACATGAAAAAAGCACAGAGGAAACAAAGTATATTACACTGAAAGCATTGCAACAACTTTGTTAAACTATTACAATTTAAATCAGCAGAGTTGTCCTCAAGGCAACACACAGACCACCATCTATAAATAAATCATGGATTATAACCGAGGGGGCAATACAAGTAATGTTTTGTATTTTTAATTAAATGTAACTGCAACGCAGTCAAGCGCTTGAAAACTTTGGCCTAAAGGAATCACTCATTACTTATATTTGGTTTCCATCAAATTAAGAATAAGACAATAAAGTTAAACAGAAAAATGTATTTTTTTCCAGTGGGAATTGAGCACAAGACCCTCCAGTACTGTTTTGATGCTCTAAAACTAATATATGAAACAAGCCAGTATACTCCCTCGGTTTTCTCCCAAGGTATTGAATAATAAGCCACATCTTAAACTTCACTTTCATAGTATTATTATGTTATCATATTTCTATTATTGGATTTTAACTATTATACGTCAACCACATAAAATATATCAAAATCTAAAAGGCAGATTTTATTACTTCCAAACCATCAAAAATAGTGGTTGATCAATTCATCAAATTTGTAATAAAATTAAAATGGGGTGACTACTAAGCTGGAGGTTTATTATTTTGAGTACAGCATTCTGAATATTAATTTTAGTCTCAAGCCTGGCATTTAGGTCAAAATCCATTATTCCTAAAATCTGCCGATAATATCACTTGCTGTTCTCCTAAATTGTTTGGCAATGATTAACAGCTGTTCCTAAGATATGTTTTTGGTACAATCTTTAAATCACAAATGTGGAAATAACCTCAAACATCAGTGAAGATAAACACAAGATTGCCACAAACAATTGCCTACTTTACAACTTCAATAAAAAATGTGTGTTTCTCAGACACCTGCAAATCGACAAGACAAATGAACAGAAAGGTCAAACAGAATACTATTCAGTAAGATGTGTTTTAATTAAAAAGAAATGGTGACAAGATCAATCAAAATAACATTTTGAGACAGTCTTCCCATCAGCACTACACAATCAAATGTTATGTAAATATCAAGAAGCAAAGAATAAATTTGAAATGAAATGCTAACCATTTTAAGTTCAATCACTCTTACATAAACATAGCTTTACATGCACAATAAACAAAGAACAAACAGAAGGGTCATTTCCATGTCAACTTATGCAATGGTAAACATGCACCCACAAGATTTGCACATATCAGTTAAAAAATAGGCTGCTAGAGGCAGCACGTGTCTACTGCCTCACAGTTGTTTTGGCTACTTTTAACTCATCCATGCTTTTTGTGTTGGCAATTCACTTGAATAACTGTACAAGTAACAGATGGTTGGCTTATTAGTGAACTTTCTAGGACAGGTCTTATCTAACAGCTTTCTGTATTGGCAATTCACTTCAATAACTACTGTACAAGTAACAGATTGTTGAATTTTTGGTTCTTTGTAGGACAAGTCTTATCCAGCATGGCATCATATTATTTTGTAAACTTACTTTTCATTCTTATCTTTAGCTTATGACCCATCATTACTCCACCAAATTTACTTTTACAAGGTCAACTGCCAGACATAGTAAAGTGTCTACTGACCCCCGAATGGGCAGTAGACACAAAACACCATATTGTACAAGCAGAGGTTATGTAAGTTTTAAAAATAATCTTTAAAAACTGAGAAAATGCATGGGCACAACATTTTGAAATGCCAATTATTTTAAACCATAATGAAGTTGAATAAAGATTTCAAATAAATAATCAGAATTGTTAGGATGAGGCTGCATGATGCATTTTTTTTCAGAATATATGAAATTGTATCCTACAGGCATGTGGAGTGTGAGTAATTACAATATCTACTTCATCTATAAATAGACAATGCATAAAGCAAAAAAAAAAAAAATTTTCTGATCTAACAAAGAAAAAGAGTGTGAGGAATACCAAAAGTACCCCAATGGAAATAAGTCTTCATTTTTTATGGGTATCATCCTTACCATAATTTCATTAAGAAAAAATCTAATCCAATCTGTGATTTAGTTCAGTTGAATATCTTTTTGGTATTTTATTCTCAATCAAGAGTTTTATTATCTTCAGTATGCCTTTCCATGCTTCCATTTGTCTCCTTTAACGATGTGACGTCATCTTTATTGTTAAGTATGTTTTTGTTATGAAGTCGCGTACATCATCCTAATTTATTTTCATTATCTTTTCATTTCCTTCTATTTCATTCAATGTCTCTTTTTGATTACCCGTTAGTAAAATGTTAGTGATATTACTTTTGATAATAAAAAAAAAATTAATATCTTTATTTTGATTATTCATATAAAGGTCATATATATATATTTTTTATACATTTTTATAATCTCACACTATATTAACAATAATAGTAATGACACCACTCTTAGATGATTATAATTCACCGTACTGTTTTAGGTCAACCCAATATACACTTAGAAAAATCTATATTTTCAAAAGTGGTTTCCTGATGTTAGGTTTGCACTAGAGCCTTAATACCCAGATCGGGAGCTAATTGTCAACCTGAACTGTTGAGAACACCTGATTGGTTAGCTCTAACCATTCCCAGGCCCATAGCCAGGTTCTTGCAAGGGGGGGTTTTCTGGGCATGAGGTCCACAGTCGAAGCCCCGGTGGGATCAGCGAAACCCCCAAAGCAAGAGGATTTTTGTGCTTTATGCGTCTAAATAATGCTATAAAAGCAGATATGTTTGAAAATGCCTGTGTTTGGGTGGGTCTGCAGTGCATTAGTTTGGTTGGAGGACTTATTTGGGAAATTTAAAGAGGGGGTTTCGCCAGAAAAGAGTGGGGGGGGATTTGCTAGAAAAGGGGAGTTCTCCCGAATCATAAAACTCCCCCTGGATACGGGTCTGATTCCCAGGAAGTGAATATGCTATCGGTCAGCAAGTAGAAATCATTTCTATCATTAACCAATCAGACATATGCATTCCCATTTCCTATTGGCCAGTGATCCAAACATCATCCAAACATCATCTTCTTAATATCTTGATTGGAAATTTAGGAAAAAAAATGCCCTTGTTTTTGATATTATGTAAGCCAAGGAAAGAGAGAGGACACCAGTAAAAAACTAACAAGCACAATGAAAAGAACTTACTTCCAAGGAATGGAGGAACTCTTTAAAAAGACGAATTCTTTCAGATTCCACAGTTATTCCATCAAAAGGAGTCTCATTTACAAAGCGATCACGCACCTGAAATGAAACGAGACTTAAAGTAACTTAAACTGCAAATTATTCGAGAAAGTTCAGAAATTAAACAAAATAATATCAGGCTTGCAGACCTCGAGCTGTGACTTCAATCCATAACAACCAAATAATAATTATTGTGTGCCAGTAGGTCATTAGTACTCATTTAAAAAAACAGTGTATTCCAACCTCATCCCAATTAGCTGTAGTTTCCAGTGGTGGGGCAGCTTGCTTCAACATTGCCTTAAATGCACTTTCTTTCCGCCTCTGCTTCCTTGCTTCTTCTTTTAACCTTTCTTTCTCCCTTGCTTCTGCTTTCTCACGTAGCTGTAATGAATGAGTAATTAAAATTAAATGATAGAGAACGTTGCTTTCTTGTCAAGAAATATATTTAGGGATGATTTAGGGGACTTCCAGCATCTACACCATATTCTAACAATATTAGTAAGCTAGACTGAGCATAGATCTTGTGTTGGGCTAAGCCCTTGTGCTGAGCTAGGCTCCTGTTGTCAGCTAGGTTGAGTTACTGTAGGCCCATATGCTTCTTTTTGCTAACCTATTCCAATGCATTAAGCTAACAATAAGAAAAGCCATTATGATGAGCTTGTCAGTTGTGGCCAGCTAGTTAACTTACGCTGTTAAAAGCTTGCTTGATGTTACCAGCATCTAAGGTGGTCGCCCTCTTGTCCTGGCTAACAGCAGTCGCAAAGCTTTCAAATGATGTGTCCATCTCAACAACCATATTCTTATCACGTAGGATGTCTTTGATGATTCGTCGTTCATCACTGAAGCGGGCTTTCAAATCTTCCACAGCGAATTTGAACAAATCCAATGGAGTTGAGCCTAACATTGTGAAAATTTATTATATATACATTTATATTGTTTATTTTTTTTATTCAATTGCATTACCAATATCACCACAATTACCATCACAAACATCAACATCCTCATCACCAGTAGTTCAGTATGTGGAAAAAAAAAACAAAAAAAAAAAACAATAAACAATGAATCATACATCTAATGGATGAAAGCTTGAGGGCATCAGCATTTTATGTTAATCATTTGCTATATTGTTTTTTTTCAAAATGAATATGATGTTATAACATGAATAAAACCATAACGACCGTATTATTATTATTATTATTATTATTATTATTATTATTATCATCAACATCACCACCATCATTCTCTTTACTACCATCAACATCATCATCAATATCAGCAAATGCTCATCACTACATCACCATAACAATCATATTCTTCACTACCATCATATCATCATTTCATTAGCATACATACCTGGGTTACCCAGCATATTGTGGAATCGTTTGTCAGCACTGATGATAGGATAAAGGTTCATCCAGCTGGACATGGAGTTTATCTGACCTTTTTCATGCAGCTCGTCCAGGAGCACCTGTATTTAAAACAAAACAAAAATCATGTTTAAGGCACAGAGGAAGAAAACAGATTAATTTGTCTTTTTTTAATTTATACATTTTGTGTGCAATAGCGCTGAGAGATTATTATAGGGCGCTACATTATAAACCTATATTGTTATTATTATTGTTATTATTATTAGTATTATTATTCTTATTATTACAGGAAATAAACACAAATAAAACACACATTAAAAAAACTCCAGAATACACACAACTAATGATGGCAAACATAAAACATAAAATACACATTAACCAATGAAAACACAGAGAAATAAAACATAGAATAATACACAAAATAATTAAGGCATACAATAGGAAAACACAAAATAACATGACATCCTACACAATACATAATTAAGAGAGATGAAGAAACACTACAATTACTAGTTAGGAGACAGAGAAAACATAAAATATTCACAATAAGTAATTAAGGCACCGAGAAAGAACACACATGTACAGGACATAATAAATAATTGAGACACTTGACAATTGACATTTAGTTGGGCATTACAATTAGATTATATTTTTAGAACATTCTCTCTTCCTCCATCACTCCAAATTAACATCAAAATATCAATTAAGCTCACCAAGAAAGCCTCCCTGTATTTCCTATGTTGACGTCTCTGCAGCATCTTTTCTCTTTCTCTTTCTTCTTCCTCTTCTTTCTCCATTTGACGAATATGTTCCTCAAAAATAATCAGTGCATCTTCTTTATCCATATCTGATTGAAAAAATATTACAATAATGTTTTCGAGATGGGCTTCTTATCGAGATTCTATTCAAGGTTTTAAGGTATCTGTTTTGACAGATATTTTTATTAGCTTCTTCTTTTCGATTTTAAATAACTTACGTTGAAGCTCATCATCTTCTGCAAATGCTGGGTTATCCATTAAGTACTGCTGGCATTCAGACCATGTTGTCCGGTATGTGATGTTTGGCATATTATTGAGAATGTTGTGCAGGGATTCTATGTTTCGCTTCCGTAGTGTTTTATTCTCTTCTTTCTCTTTACGAGCCAAGTAGAATATCACATCTTCATACAACTCCTTTCTGTCTCTCTCTGGAACGACCTTCCATGTTTCTTCATCCTCAAACAACGTCTCAGCTTTCCTGGAATGCAAGATAATTTTAAAACTAAAGTCAGTTTATACTCTTATAAATGTATCTGTGTTGAACATACAGTAATATATTTGAACACTTTAATATTTTAATAACTTTGCATATAAATTATAATTAAAAAAATATATTCTTGGTAACAAACATATTTAATATTGTTGTTCCTATTGTAATAACATTCCTATTGTACTTGCAAGAACCCTTAAATATAGCAGGTAATCAGATTAAAAAATTTCAGCCCGTAAACCAGTAAAAACTGAAATGATTTAATGTTCCATTACAGTATCATATCTAGGCATCTTGCAAGGAGGGAGGGGAAGGGGAACTGATGGGGTGTACAAAAATGAGGTGGGGGGGGGGCTTAGCTCACATATTAAGGTGATATGAGGTGATTGTCAACATTCTGCACAAAGTTGAAAATTAAATTTACCGATATCGAACGGTTGAGGTGACTTTTGGATGATTCTCAAGAAACTTCTGAAGGTCTTCTTTGGCCTTCTTAGCCCTTACTCGTTGCTCTTCCTAAGGAAAAAAGAAAACGACTTTGTAAGCAATCACTAATTATCTAAACAGAAAATAGTTCATAATTTCAACATCGTCTGCATTACATCCATCAATACATTCACTACCATGGACAAGAGTACCTGCCTTACAGCACGTTGCAGACAGACCAGAGAAGGCATACTTGCAGATATGCTGTTTTTTTACTGTGCATTATCATGCTGGTGGCCCTGGTACACCTGCACAATGGAAGCTTAGAAAGATATGTAATAACATAAAAATTAATTTGAATTGTTTCTTGCGTTTTTCTCCATACAACTAGGAATACAGTAGTACAACTAAGTAGTAAAAAGAAAGTAAATCCTTGCTGACCCACAGGGCTCATAATGGGCTGAAGCCTATCTCTAGTTTCAAGTAGCATGTAGCGGATTGACAATGTGATGTTTCCCCTGGGTGGGACGCTGGTCCACTGCAGGTTACTCCCAGTAATTTGCTGGTACCCATTGATACAGCTGGGTAGACTGAAGCAATGTAGGTAAAGTACCTTGCTCAAGGACGCAAGCGAAACACACATCGGAGGATTGAAACCCTGACCTCGAGGTTGGGAAATCAAACTATTTCCACTGCGTCACTTTCTTGCAGACTTACCTTTTCCTCTTTTGCCCTTTGAGTCTTGTAATCATTAAATACTTGTTTCTTCTCACTCAGTTTTGACAGTGCTCTAAAAAATTAAAATATTTTTATAAATGGTTATACATTTATTCAAAAAAATAAAAGAATTAATTACCAACTTGAAATAGAAAATACAATGCTTCTGCTTATTGAACTTAGAAACAAGCAAACTTCCTCTGATTACCATCCGGTTGCATTGACTCAGCTATCAGGACAAGTATAATGTTAAAAAAATTGTTCTCACCTGTAACGAGGATCATTTATAATTAACTTCATAGCTGATTCCCAAGAAGCATTTGAAGGCACTTCCTATAAAATAAATCAAAATAACTATATAACAGGAATAAGAAATCATAAAAAAATTATGTTACAAGCTGTAATATTAATACTGTCAATATGCAATGGAAGATTAAGTTAAGCTTTTATTTATAGCAATACTGCAAAAATCAAAATAACCTTTATAGCCTGCATTTCATTACATAAAAAGAAATTCATATTTATGGATTTGATACTACGTTACCTTGTCCTTCAGCAGTTTTTTAAAAGCATTCTTAGCCTCTTCCTTTGACGGGTACACAACTTCTTGAGATTCTGTTGGTGCTGTTTCACTAAATATAAAGAAAAATGTTTGGTTTATTATGAGAAAAGACTTTCTGAGAAAATTTAATGCATAACATGAATTTTAAGAAAGGACTCTGGCACCTCAAAGGTGAAATAAACTGGTAGTTCTGATGTGACAATATGTGCCATCTCTTTACAATCTACAATCCTGATCTCTGGTCACATTCTATAGGTGACAATTTACCTTGCAGTAGTACCATCGTCACTTTTTGGTGTGCCAGATTCGGACTTTGGAACCATTGACGCAAAACCCTGGGCAGCAAACATTGCCATCTGTGCCTGCATGGCTGCCTGGTCACCTCCCATTGCTTGCATCTGCTGCATCATTGCCATCTGCTGTTGGAACAACTGCTGTTGGAAAGCCATAGCCTGTATGGTCTCTGGGGTGAACTGCTGGGGGATGGTAGGCTGAGCTTGGCTTATGGTAGCAGCCTCTTCTTGCTTGGCTAGTTCTGCAGCTGCTTTTGCTTCCTTGTCCTGATTAGCTTTTAACTCTTCTGACTCCTTTAAAAGACGCAATTCCTCTTGTCTAGCTTTTTCCTTCTCTTCCTCAATTTTCATTTGTTTCTCTTGTTCTTCAGCTTCTTTCCTTTCTTTCTCCTTTTCTTCTTGTTCTATAGCATCCAAATACAATATCCTAATAAAATAAAAGAATTTATACTCATTTTAGTTAATATTTTTGTCTCTGTATCTGGGTTAGTTTAATTCCAATACTGATATAATATAAATTGATTTTCAAGTAAAAATTGAAATATAACTCACGAATTCAAACCTTCTGATTCAATCCTATTCTTCAAGTCTTCCAATTCTTTTGGTATGCTCCACTTAGATTCTTTTGTGGTATTGTTGTGAAAGTATATTTTGCCTGAGTCAGATTTAAACTCCTTCCAAGCACACTGGGACAGAAGGTACTGCAAGAAAACAAACCCAAATAATACAATGTGTTAGTTTTAGGGGTCATCTTGAGCTGTTTAAAACTTAAATTTTCTGACCACATGGTTGATAAACTTACAAAATTAATAGAGTATTTGTCTTTTTATTTAATTGGAGGGATAATCATTAACTTCATTATCAAAAATTAATATTGTCTAATTGTACAAATTTTAATAAACCACCCACTTTGGAGTTGGGACGTGTAATAAATTACCATTCCTTTTTTGAAATACATGTTTATGTGAATGTTATTGTATTGTTTTGATACCGGATTGTTGTTGGAGTTTATACAGAATAAAAGTTTATTTTTGAGTTGTGTTACAACTTTGTGAGCTGTGTTTTATATTTTATATGTCAAAGAGGGACTCCAAGTCATTTCTATACCGCTCGGAAATATGTGAAGTGGGAATTCATGACAGGACGGTGGAATTATTTTAAAGAACTACATAATGCAATGAAACAATTAATATAGCCTACGCCTCACAAAGAGTTTAGACTTGAACCTAGGACTACTCTATCACACTACAAAAGGTACTGGCAATGGATCCATTACATCTCAAGACACTTTGTCTATACTCAACTAACAGCAAAAAAGGACTGATATATATATATAGTATTCAAATATACCAAAAAACTTGCAACGTTTTTCAAACCACTTAAAAAAATGGATGAGCTTACACAGTACCAAAACCGAACATTTTGTAATAGTAACATTATTAGTTTCTTTAACTCAACATGGAACATATTATCTCTTAAAAAAAGATATACACACATCATGGCATTAAGCCCTGTCCAGACTATCAAATTTTGTTTGACAAACAACATGCGACTTTCCTAAATATGGCAACGATGACTAATATCATGACCATATATAGGCATATACTGACTATATATGGCATAAAACAGTTTTTTGTCAAAGAAAATTTGATGGTCTGACAAGAGCTTTACCTACCTCTGCATGTGTCTTGAGGTCATCTGGTTTCTCCCAGCTGGACTGTTTTGTTTGTGTGTTGTAGAAGTAGATTCTACCATCAGGTGCCTTGTGCTCTGTCCAGCAGCTCTTCTTAGAGGTCGATTTGGTCTCTTTAGCAGGTTCCTGTTCAGAAGCCTTCTCAACTGTCTTCGTATCTTGTGCAGGTACAAATCCAGGTACTTTTGTTGAGCTTTGGTTACTGGCTTCATCTTCGGCCAAAGTAAAAAATCCCATACAAATTTAATAACAGATAGTATTACAATTATAACAAACATTTTGTGGAATAAATTATTTTTGATTCTCTATTTCTTATTGAGGATTAGGTAGTGGAACTGGTAATGGGAATTCATTTTGATTTCTGCATGAATTAAACAAGACAATGGTAAGAGAAGGTGAGCACTTTTACCATCAACCAACAGCTTCACTTCTGTACTTGAATCATTATGTTTCCCTAACAGTCTTATGTTAAAACCTGTGAAGTTAAACAATAAAGGCCTACCTGGCTTCTCCTGGTTTATCAATGGCATACCGCTGTTAATGGGAGGGGGAATACCTGTTGGCATCATTGGAGGAGGCCCCATACCTGGTGGAGGCATGTTGAAATTTGGAGGTGGCATAGGCATACGAGGTATGTTACCATGCTGCGGAAATGTAGGAGGTGGAATGTTCATTGGTGGTTGTCCAGAGCTTTGATTTGGCATCGGCATAAAGGGAGGTGGTGGCATGTTAGGAGGTCCTTGCATCTGAAAATTTAACCAAAGAAAGTCAGTCATTAGATACAGTATTTGATTTAATCCTGGTTAAAGCCATTCAAATGTAATCAGTGAGTCTCCTTTAATATACGCCTTTTTCATGCTACGGTAGACATCTTCGACCAATGACAAACAGTGCTGAGCAGAGGGTCGTGTCAAAATAATTTTTTCTTTAAAATGTTTGCAAAGGATATGTCTACGTACTGTATGAATTTAAAAAAAATTGAAAATTTGTTTAGTCTGTCAAAACTTAACTGGCAAATGGAAGAACGTTTTTGTGTAGTGTTAATACAGGAAGCAGGTCAACTTGGCCACAAGTCAACTCGGCTGACTGTGGCCGAGTTGACTTGTGGCTGAGTTGGATCGAATTCTTAATACACACATTGCCATTATTGTTCACTGTTCGACCTAATATTCTTTAGCGTGCCGGCCATATTTTCGGAGGTCATCTTACTTTAAAAATCGTAACTCCTTAACAGAGTTTTTTCTTCAAAATGTTCGCAAAGGATATCTAAGTACCGTACTCGCGCAAATAAGCGCCCGGGTGCTCAGTGTTCTCCCGAAGCCGTCTTAGCCGTCAATTTTACCGGTAAAAATAACCACCCAACCAGTAAAAATTTTGAGTTTGTAAAATAAAAAAAACTATTGATTAGGCTTAGGTAGTCCAGGCTGGCCCTCTTAATAAATTAACATCATTCCAGTCTATATCTATACTATGAATATATGCTGTTGTGTCTTCAAGTCATTTAACCCAACAAAAAAAGGGTAACGTACCTCACATTGTGCGCATTGCAATTTTTTATGGACAAATTTACCAGTAAAAATTTTTCAGTTGGGAGAACACTGGTGCTAAAAATATTTTTTGCACTTTCTTAGGGGCGTTTATTCAAACGGGCCACTTATTCGAACGGGGCGCTTATGAAAACAGAGTGGAAATTGAGGGGGCGCTCATGGAAATAGATTAAAATTGAGGGGTTCTTATGGAAAATTATTAAATTTAAGAGGCACATTTTGAATGAAAAAAGATTATTTAAGGACATTACGAATGGTGCTTAGGCGGAAAAGATAGCCTAATCATCCAGAGAACATGGCTCATGACAAGAATGCGTGAATATCATAATAGCAAAATAGCAGATGCAATTAGTGGTGGTGGGTAGTGGTTAGCTTGTTGGCCATAGGCCGATTGAGATTAGCAGGATTGCAGGACCATTGTATTTTTTATTGAAAACTTAGATGAGAATGTACTAAAGGTCGGAAAAAGAAAAGGAGGAGTAGGACTAGGCATAGACATATGTAAAAAGAGTAAAGTTGGAAATATACTGTCTGTCCAGGGTTCGGAGCTCCCATCAGTCCAAGGGAAATATCCTCATTTTGATATTGACCTAAGAAGAATGTGTTTCCACTCTGCAGCTCAAATCATGTCAACAACCACAGTCCCAGATTGATTGGATTATTGACTTGCTAAAAAGAAAATCTTATGACAATTATTAGAAGTGGGCACTTATTCAAACGGGGCGCTTAAGGAAATTTCACGTTAGGAGGGGCGGCTATTCAAGAGGGGCGCTTATCCAAACGGTACTGTATGAGTAATAAAAAAATTAAAAATTGTTTAGTCTATCAAAACATAATTGAAATAATAGCAACACACACTATACAAAATCAGTCTAATATATTCCAGTTAAGTTTAGACAGACTAAACAAATTTTCAATTTTTTAAAATTCATACAGGACGTAGATATATAATTTTCGAACATTTTAAAGAAAAAAATATGTTGACACGAACCTCCGTTAAGGATATATGATTTTTTGAGTAACAAGGCCTCCGAAAATATGGCCGAAATGCTATGTTATTTCTGTTGGTTACGCTTTGCTACTCAGCATTGTTTGTCATCGATCGAAGATGTCTACCGCAGCGTGAAAAAGGCATATAAAACAAATTTATCCTGAATGAACATTAAAAACTATTTCTATTTAGAACAAATCAAAGTAAAATACTATCAGCTACGGTCTGAGATCTTTTGATTAAAGTGGGTGAGTTCAGATCATTATTATATAATTACATGCTTTACCAAAAGATCTTGGCTTCTTCAATCACGCCTCTTGCAAAATGTTAAATTATAAAATATGCAAAACACTTCATTAAATTATACTAGGTATATATATAATCATTTGACTTATTCTGAAGAGCTGCTTGGTATAGCAAACTAAAATATATATTTATCAAGCACGTTTAAAGCTTACCCTAAATGGGGGCATCATCATGGGAGGTTGGTTTCCAAATGAGGATCCTTGTTGCTGTTGTTGGGCTGGGCCCTGGTTCATCTGACCTGTAGACTATAAAAGAAATCATGTTAATGTTAACATAGAGCAAGTTTCTTTGCTCTATTATGGCATAGCCTATGGATCTGCTCAACAAGAAATGAGACCAAAAAATAGGTCAACAAAATCATATTAATAATATTAAACTAGGCCTATATGTCTAGGCCTAGTCCAACTCTCTATCTAAGTTAAGCCTAGGCGGCCCTACTTCTTCTTCTCCTAGGCTATTAAATTATTAATAGAGACTTAGAATAGGGCTATATATTGTAGCCTGTAGGCTAGTATGCCTAGACCAACAAGGTAAAAAGCCGGTAGGCCACCTAGCGTCATGTTTATGCCTAGGCCCCAGGTATGAAGCACGCCACGGCCTAGCCTAGCTAGGCCTAGCCTAGAGGGTAGGGTAGGCCTTCAACAAAGAACAGAAATTTCTTGGTGCCTAAGAAGCTGTAACATTCTTTACCTAGCGGCGTAGCCTAGGCCAATGTTTTTTTAATTGATCTACTAAACTTCAATTACAATTGCAACACAACTATTTCTAATTTTACTAGGCCTACCATTGTGTAAAATCGTCAAGCAAACGGCTTTACTCTCATGCAGCACCGTCGGCCACCGACGCCGCCATTAATTGCATTCAAATGTTTGAGGGCGCAGTACATGTTCCATGTTCCACGCGCACATTGTACGTCATCAGATACCGTGTGTGTGCCGAAGTTTATTCAACTTTGATATTTAGCGAATTAAAGATGTACTGTACATATTCATATCATTTATTTGAATAATAGACTAATACAAAACATGCAAACCTCAGCAGCTGGTACCTGATAGGATTGCTCAAAAGGGGCTATTGCCCATCGGAAAAAATGGTTGTCACAGATCTACAGACATTTTACACTACCTAACCAATAAGGGTCTATGCAAAAGATTACAGGCAGTACAGTCCGTTATTTGAGAAGAAAATGTATTTTCATTCAAAATGTTTAATTGTCACTTAATAATAATTATTATTATTATGATTACTTGTTATTATTATTATTATTATTATTATTATTATTATTATTATTATTACTATATTATTATTATTATTATTATTATTGTTATTATTATTATTATTAGGGCTACATGATAAAGGTTTTCAATTGTTTTTGTATGCCTTTTTCAATTTCCTTATGATTTAATCATTTCATTTATTATAATTGTTATATTTTAATTATTCATATATTATAATGTATATTGATGATGTAATTGGAAATAAAGTCGAATTAAATTTAATTGGAAATATCAAATTAGGCAATATAAATATGGAATTGAATTTTTTTTTTAGCTCATGACAGAAAGTACATTTTTGATGTTATATTTCATGAAAAGACGTTCTGGCGTTTTATTATTGTTATGAATTCATTATACTCATCTGATATAGTAGCAGAGTCTACCAATTCGTGTTAATAGACATAAATGCCTCAATGAATTCAATTTTTCTTACGATAGACTTGCTCTTATATATGTGTCTTATTCACCACACTGTTTTCCGTGTTTGTTATTATGACAATAATTGGGGCCCCGGTTGTTTTGTTAGTAATCCTAATTGGGTCATCCCCTCTCATCGAAAATTAATTATAGCAGGCCAGAAGTTATACATATATATCTCTTTCTTAAATCTGGTTAATTTCTTTCTCAATCGACTTCATCCTTTCTAACTTATGTACAATATCACATTTGTGTATATTCTCCATTGATCGATACTCAGCCATCTTTTCTTCTAAAAATGCCCTTCCATCGGCATTGACTTCAGTATAAATAGCCTAACCATGTATCTAACACATACTGGCATGATATAGTCTTGTCGCATATTACAAGAAAAACCCTATCACTAATAAGACATTAAAATTTATAGGGCATTTAGTCACCCGGAAAAACTATGACTTGCTGCAACATACTTAGCATAGGTGCAATTCCGACCACTCTCATCGAGGAATTTTTGATGAGTTACTTGTGTTAATCTGTAAAATAATAAACATTTCTCTTGAACAAGAGATAGTGAATCTTTAAAAATTGTAAGGGTGTTTGCCATGCCCTATCCCCAAGAAAGGTTCACTTGTTAAATTGCTTATGCAACTTTAGACCGTTATTAATATTAACCATATTAAGTTATAAAACAGTGGTTCAGGTTGAGTGATGTACAAACAAAATCAAGAACAGATATGATTCACAAAATATATTTTATTCGAGTGCAAAAGTATAGCCTTTGATAACGATGTTGCAAAGTGTCGTTCATTGATATTCCACATTAAAATCTTTGTTTTTCCGTACAGTATTTAAAAACATTTATTTACCAATGAAATGATATAAAAATTGTACAAGCATTAATAAGTGTAACCATGGTGAAACATAACGATACCATACCAATGCACATATACATACACACATGAGACTCAAACCAATGTATAACAAAGATAATTAGAAAACAAATATTAAAATGCATAAATACAATATTATTTACATTCTGAATAGAGTAAACCAATGATTTCATTTTAAACACTAAGTAGCCCACGAAAGTTTAGAAGAAGACTTATTTCCAGTGGGGTCCTTCTGGTGGTGGCCCTCCAGCTGAAACACAAGGGGAGGCAGCAATGGGAATTGAACCGGGGTTCAGCGCACACACAGTGGCTACCACCAGCTTAGCCGTCTGAGGTCTGAGCTAAGCTGCTTCCAATAGTTGTAATAAATAATGAAAATGTTGTGGTCTGTCAGTTTAAATGCTAGTCCTGTGTGCACACATGAAAGGTATCAGACATTTTCTCACAATCAAAATAAAACCTTCTCACCAAATATAAAAAAGAGACAAATAAAAATCGAGAGTAATAATAATGATAATAATAGGCCTAATAATAATAATAATAATTAATAATGATTTAACCAAGATGGTTATAACAATGTTTTTATTTAATATAAATAATATATAGTTATTTTCTGACTGCAAAATTAAAAGAAAACCCTTTAATAGGCCTCAATTTTATAATAATGCAATTATCACATGAGAAAATAAATTCAAAATATTAAACTGCGTGTGCATTATCGAAAACACAGTCTAGGAAATAAATAATTAAGCGCCTATCTGAATTTAATTTGAAATTGTGTTTGAACTCAGTAAGTGCTGATGAACTTTCAATGGGAGGTTTGATGAGCATGTTTAATTTAGGCTATGAACTTTCAAATAGGCTCGATGAGCAATTTTATTTCCAAAGTCGAAAACATATTCAGCCCAGACTCTTCGAGAAATATGAAGAAATAAGGAAATGTAGCGTAATGTTCCGGTACGATACGGCACTGTGGTATTGGCAGCTTTGTCGAAACGAGTTAGTGGATATAGAATGGCTTATCAATTAAATGGTGTATTAATAATAAAATAGGTCCATAGTAAAACCATTGAAATTGCCATCAGCAAGAAAATTAGGCCTACTGTACTAATCATCTCGTGCCATTTAAGATTGGTAATGCAGCGGGGAGTATTTCCGTCAACTGTTGTAAATATTCAATACAATGTAAACTGTGATCACAAAACAATGGTCGCTTAATACATGAAAACGAAAACGAAATGTAATGTCACATCAGTTTGGCTACCCCTATTCTGAAACATGGAGGGTTAAAAGTAGAAACAGACTGAATGCTTTTCAAAATCTAGGCATATTATTCAGGGGCGGA